CACACACACACACACACACACACACACACACACACACACACACACACACACACACACACACACACGCACACACGCGCGCACACACACACACACACACACACACACACGCACACACGCGCGCACACACACACACACACACACACACACTTGATTTTGGCTAAATCTGACCTGTACAAACACAAAACTGGCATCAATTCAGTCCATTTTCCAAACACTGATTAAAAATTTGATGCAACAATAGTTCAGAGACCTTTGAAATACATTCTTCTACTAGTCAGTTTTTAACTTGCATTCAAAATCTAACTCAAACAGCTGAGTCTATGATTGGATCCATGCCCCAAACAGTTCTTATAGCTCCAGACATCCTTACTTCATCTTATCAGCTCCACCAACAGGGTCCAACAGATTCTAATTTCTCACATAAAGGGTGAAAAGCATCATACTGGGTCACTTCTCTGTTTGAACCCACATAGACTCACTTGGCAGCTTCAAGGAGTTCTGATGTGTGGTGGAGTTGCTAATGCTAACAGTTAACTGAGACGCTAGCTGAGACGTTCTCTGCTGTTTTATGGACGCTAAACCAACAACAGCCTTCCCCGTCACGAGCCAACATGGGTGAGTCCATGAATGTTAACCCTTTGGATGAGAAAAATGTTCAGTTTTGACGTGACTATTTCAAAATGTTGTAGCTTGGAAATGGTTAGAGATAAAGGTAAACTGTAAAGGAGAAAAATCTTCAAAAGGACCCAAAGTTTGTGTTGGGAGCAAATTCACTCATCAAATTAGCATGTTATGACATCATCAGGTTGCCATATTGGAATGCATCATTATTACAGATGTTTAGCCTTATATTTACATATTATTTAGAAATGTCCATTACGTTTTGATTTTTTAAAATTAATATATATATAAAGCTCTTGTTGAATTTTAATTTAGTATTTTAATTTTATCTTTAGGATTATGTGGCACACTTTGACTTCCATATGAAATGCATCGGCATCTGCTGCTTTTTACAGCTTTTTTTTTTTTTTACATTTCTGCTTCACTTGTCACATTAGTGGTGCTTTTACCATCATTTCTATATCCACCATGTCCCGAAGATGGTGAAACAAATGTCAAACCCAACGTTTGGACAGCAACAGCTGTCTGATGCTGCACGCTGTCAGTCATGACCAGACGAAGAGATCAGGCAACAAAGACCAGACCTGCCGGCAATTGCACGCTTAATCCTTCTAATATTCACCCTCTTCGTGCTGCGCTCACCTCCTCGTTTCCTCTCCCCGACCGAGAGCCTCTCAGCGGGAGGCATTTTTCAAACTCCAAAACCTCCCAAACTTTCAACATAAACACACCCGTAAGTGTTGCTCAGCCTGAAGTTACACATCTTCACTATGTGCTGGTGTAAAGTAGTAACTTCACGAGGAATCACATTTGTAGCTGTGGCTCGTTAAAGTCAGCAATGACGTGTCGCAATATTGCGACTTTGGTGCCTAAAGGGTTAAGTGACCGTGTGACGTAGATCTGTCAGGTTTTTCTAATCCTAGAGTTTTACCATCTGTTTTCTATCAGAAGTTAAGCAGGAGATAGGTGTAGGAGACTGTTCTAAAGTTCAGCCTGCATGAAAAGCTCAGAGTGATGATTATATTTCAAAAACAATAAGTGAAAATGTTTTCTCAGGTTTTCTCTTATAAGACTGTAAAACAATGTTCCCTTAAAGAAATGATGAGCAGTTTTCTCTAGAAATATCAAAAGGAGAGTATCACAGCACTGAAACTGCATTAGTGAGAGTTACAAATGATATTTTCATGGCCTCAGATAAGAATCTTGTGCCTGTTCTTGTCTTGTTAGATCTCAGTGCTGCCTTAGACACAATAGATCACAATGTTCTTGTAGAAAGACTTGAACATGTTGTAGGGATCAAAGGAACAGCGCTAGGCTGGTTTAAATCCTACCTGTCTGATAGATTTCATTTTGTAAATGTACATGACAAATCGTCTTCATACTCCAGGGTTACTTATGGAGTACCACAGGGTTCAGTGCTTGGACCAATTTTTACTATATATATGCTCCCAATTGGTAAAATCATTAGACAGCATGGGATAAACTTCCACTGTTATGCTGACGATACTCAGTTATATTTATCCATTAACCCTGATGAACCTAATCAGTTGTGTAGATTACAGGCTTGTCTTGAGGACATAAAAAATTGGATGACTCTAAACTTTTTGCTTTTAAATCAAGACAAGACGGAAGTTCTCATCTTTGGACCAGAAATCCAGAAAGGGAAATTGCTTAGTCAATCACCTGACCTGAATGGAATTACATTAATCTCTAGGAACAAAGTAAGGAACCTTGGTGTTATCTTTGAACAGGACATGTCATTCAAATCCCAGGTTAAACAGGTTTGTAGGATTTCCTTTTTCCACCTTCGGAATATTGCTAAGATTAGAAGCATCCTTTCCAGAAGTGATGCTGAAAAACTAGTTCATGCATTTATTACATCAAGACTGGATTACTGTAATTCATTACTCTCAGGAAGTCCACAGAATGTTGTTAAAAGTCTTCAGCTTGTCCAAAATGCTGCAGCTAGAGTTCTGATGAGAATTAAAAAGAGAGATCATATCTCTCCTGTCTTAGCTTCCCTACATTGGCTACCTGTTAAATTCAGAATAGATTTTAAGATCCTTCTTCTCACATATAAAGCTCTTAATAATCAAGCTCCATCATACATCAGTGATCTGATTGCTCCATATGTTCCTAACCGAGCACTTCGCTCTCAGACTGCAGGTTTACTGGTGGTTCCCAGAATATCTAAAATTAGGATGGGAGGCAGATCTTTTAGTTATCAGGCTCCTAGCTCCCAGCCTTAGTCCGTGAGGCAGACACCTTGTCTACTTTTAAGACTAGGCTTAGGTGTGTGCGTGCGTGCGTGTGTGTGTGTCTGTCTGCTCTGTCTTCTCCATCCCCAGTGAGTCGTGGTGGATGGCTGCTTATACTGAGCCAGGACCCTCTGGAGGTTTCTTCCTGTTAAAAGGGAGTTTTCCTCTCCACTGTCGCTAAATGCTTGCTTAGTATGAGGATTGCTGTATAGTCACTGACACTAGTCAGTGACTCGATACAATTTGCTGGGTTCCTTATATAGGAAACATTTTTTCTGATTGGCTTAATGAACTGACATGGATTGGAATGTTAATTATGTGAAGTGCCTTGAGACGACTCTTGTCATGATTTTGTGCTAAAGAAATAAAATTGAATTGAATTGAATAAAATTATCCAGTTGAAAAATATTGGCGGCTTTGTAACATATAACCATATAAATCAGCTCTAAACACAAGAGAGTGGGTCTGAGTCTCTGGGTGACGCCGTGTTTTCTTCTACGGGAGCCCATGAGGACAAAATGCATGTACTGATTTGTAACAAGTGGTTACAAAACTTTCACCATTCATAAACGTTGTTGTTTTACACATTTACCTCTTCACTTGTTGCCATGAAAGGGAGTCTGATGTGATGTTATTTTGTTGGAGTTTGGGCTCCCAGGGATTTTTGACTCTAACGGCCATCCGTCGGTAAGGTCTTGCTCTAACACAAAAAAATACTGCTTGCTTGCAATGAAGAAGAAGAAGAAGAAGAAGAAGAAAATATCATTTCTATAGCACCTCTCAAGAGAAAAATCATGGGGCGCTTCACAAAAACAAAAAATGTAAAATATAAAAAAGAATTTAGAAAATGATTAAAAATATATTTAAAAAGAGCAAAAAAATTGTAAATTGTGATTAGAAATGTAAAGAAAGAGAGAGAGTGGTGAAGAAGGTCACACCAAAGCCAGCTTGAACAAGCGAGTCTTGAGCTGCTTTTTAAAGGAGACCACTGAGTCCACTGATCTCAGACTCAGGGGGAGAGAGTTCCAGAGTCTGGGGGCCACAGCAGCAAATGATCTGTCACCTTTGGTCTTTAGCCTGGTGCTGCACAACCAGTAGGCTTTGGTCACTGGACCTCAGGGACCTGCTGGGGGTGTAGGGACTAAGAAGATCACCAGTGTAAGATGGTGCTTGTCCATGTAAGGCCCTATAGACCAGAACCAGGATCTTGAAATGAACCCTGAAGTTGACTGGCAGCCAGTGAAGCTGGAGGAGAAGCGGGGTGATGTGGGTGTGTTTGGAGGACTTGGTCAGAAGCCGAGCACAGGCATTCTGAACCACCTGTAGACGGTTCAGGGAGGTTCTGCTCAGACACGTGAAAAGAGAGTTACAGTAGTCTAAGCGTGAGGAGATGAAGGTGTGGATAACTGTCTCAAGTTCAGAGCAGGACAGAATGGGACTCAGCTTAGCAATGTTCCTGAGATGGAAGAAGGAAGAGCGAACTAGAGAACTGACATGAGAATCCAGGGTGAGAGCTGGGTCAAAGGTCACACCAAGATTCCTGACAGAAGGTTTGGTGTGAGAAGCAAGCTGACCAAGAGAGTCTCTGACTTTGGGAACCAGCTTGTCTGGAGCACAGATGAGGATCTCAGTCTTATCTTCATTCAGCTGAAGAAAGCTCCCAGCCATCCAGATTTTAATAGAGATGATTTAGGTATGCTTTTCCCCCATCACCAGGGAAAATACACACAGTCACTTTAAATGAATAAATCCCCCCCCCCAAAAAAAACAAATGAACATACTTTAATCGGGCAGTGCAATTTTAAATTGGATCAATGACTTTGATGTGAGTGAGAAAGTTTAACAGGTTCCCTAATTTTCACCCCTGTAACACGCTGCAGAGCCTAGTCAAAGGTCACAAACAAAAGCACCTTCTGACCAGCTCTGATGCTTTCAGCAGAATCCTGGAATCTGCTGAACTCAGCAGCGTGCAGATAAAGCCTAACATCTGATGAAGTTATGGTTTATTGGTTCTTGATTAGAGATCCCAATCCAGCTCAGATAGTATTGTTAGTGAACCTTTTGAGTGAATCTTTAAAAGATCAAAACTATAACTCAGATGCAGCCATCTGGCCATAAAAGTGTGTTGGTATCAAGGTTTATTGTCCTTAATATTGTACAATATACAAAAATATAGGGTACAAAAAAATTCACAGTGTCTAAAAGGCAGTGATTATAGTCTACATGACAGGTCTAACAGTACACCTGGTAAGTTGCATAGAAGGTCACAGAGCCTCACATCTCAGGGGGCAGAGCTCCGAGTCACCGACCACAGGTATAGCTGTAGACCCTCACACCAAATCTCTGGTTACTGGTTGTGTCTAAAGTCCAGTCCTCATCAGTGCCTTGGTGAGTAACTCTCCCACGAAGGTTTGGAATCCAGATGTTTGAGCAGCTGGGAGAGGCCAGAAGCCACAGGCGGTCGGTCACACGGTGGAGCTCTGTCCCCAAACAAACCCCCTGGTTCGCTGTGTACTTAGCTGCTGCACTTTTTTAAAACAACTATAAGGCTTTTTAACTTTTTATTTTTTTTAACAAACAGTGTTAGCTGTACAGATTTATTCATACAATCCTCATCAGAGACATTAAAAGGGCAGAAGGCTGCAGCTCTATATACAGATATCCATGCATGTACATTAGCTGAACTGAAAAGCTGGGTTAGCATCCATCGATCAGCGACTTCTAGCAACAATAAAGTATCAGAGTGAAAACGCCCTTTATGAACCAAGCTGTGATTATAAATAATGAGTTTTTACACCTCCTCAGGAACCAAAAGGCTTTAACTTATAACAACTAGTGTCTAGCACGTGAATTATAGGTAAAAACATCAGAATTTGGAACACACACACACACACACACACACACACACACACACACACACACACACACACACACACACACACACACACACACACGTTTGTTTTTGTTAGTAACTAAAAGAAAAAGAAAAAAAGAAACATCAAAATTCACTTCTGATTTGTTGCAACATTTCATGTAAATGCCGGTGTGGTGGTTCGAAGCTGCTGGGAAAGAAACCAAAGCAAATTTAGAGAATTGATCAGTTCTATTGTTCTTAGCAAAATATTTCCTCCTATGCTACAGCTCATCAGAACAAAAAACAATTATCATCTTGAAAAAAAGGAACAAGTGCCAGTCTACTAGTTTATTCTATCATTATAGAAAACCCAAAGCGGTTGTTCAGCACACCGGCCATATCTGATATGACCACTGAGCTATTTAGGGTTCAGTAGAGAATTAATTGCTGAATCAATCAATTCCCTTCCAGAAGTCTTTCTCGGAGAAATTGAAATGGGAACAAACGTTGCCACCATCATCTGTTGCGTACAGGCACCCACGGCATTCCCAAAGCTATTTCCAGTTCCGAACGCTCGCCGTTCCTCGCTTTGACCTCAGGAGTGTGCCCTTCTCTTCAAAAGGCCCAGGCTCAATCAAAAGCAGTTTTAGGTATTATTCCTCTCTCCAGTCGCTTGTCGTGACTGTTCCTAAACAGCCCTTCAGACCCTTAATCAACTTTAAAAGTTCTTATCTGTCCCATCATGTGAAACAGCAACAATGGAGGGAGAGCGTTTCCTCCAAAACAACCCGCGCTGATATTGATCTGTAATTTTTTTCATCGACTTCGAGTTTTCTCTTTTGTTGTTGCTCCCTTGCTCTGTGCTGCGTGGCAAGGACACGAGCACGTGCACACGTTGCTCTCCATAACTGCTTTTGTTGTCCAGGGACTTGAGTTCATTACAGGCTTAGAATGCTGTTTGGAATGGAGACACATAAAAATGGTAACTTGGGTCATATTTTCTTTTATTCATGTTGTGTTCCCTTTAGTCGGTGCATTTTTGGGTGCTCGGCCCTCCACCTGCACCCGAGTGGTTGTGAAAATATCCCCAAAGACAGAACTTGCCCTTTTTCAGTTGTTTTATTCCACTTTGTCCCCTGCCTGAAGCAGGGAGTGACACAGCAATACCCAGACACATTCTAATAAAAACAACCTCCCAGCTGGTTGCATAAGTTCTCCATGTTAGCAGGACACAGGTTTTGTAGTCCAAACCCACTTCTCCCATTCAAAGTTCCCCAAACAGCCTTGAAATCACAAACCCCACCATGCAGAAGGAGAGTCTATAACCTTGGCAAGATCAGGAAAAACATTTCAGTCCATGTTGGTTCAGTTGTGTCACCATGGTAGCGGAGTATGATGTCTGTCTGAGGGAAGGGGTGTGGGCCGTGTCTCAGCTGCTGCTGTTGCTGTTGTTGTAGGTTCTGCATGGTGAAGGGGACGAGTTGGGCTGGTAGTCGAACTTTCCGAGCGGTGTGGGGTAGTAGGTAGTGGTGTAGACATTCGTCTGCTGGAGCGGCGTCGGATAGAAGTTGGATCGTTCATCAGGCAGCAGGTTGTTCTTGTTCAGCGTCTGGAAGGAGACAGCAGCGTTAGCAGTCCCTCCTCATTGATGAAAAACAGATTTCTCGCGTAATTGTTGTTTTTCTATGTCAAAGACAACTTGATTGAATACAGAATGCAGTTTTCCAATGATGGATAAGGTAGATGTGGAAAATTCCCAGTGAGTAAAGATGCCCTCAGACTGGCTTTATTGTGACTGGGTGTTGATAACCAAAGCAAACCAATGGAGTAAATGATACTCAGTCTAATTTACTGTTGCACTTCTAAAGGAAAACAAGTCCAAATGACACTTTATTTTAATCCAATTGCCAAGTGTTAAGTAAAAGCTGAACATGGGGTGTAACACTCCCCAGCTGTACCCTAACGCAATCCATGTGAACAGCTTGGGGGAGCGAGGCAGAGAGGTAATCAGGTTAGTGAGAGACTTGTGTGGGAAAACAGAAATCAGCCTGGAAGGGCGGGAATCTAAAGCACAACCGTGTTGTTGGATTACAAAAATAGCGTCACCAAAATCCAGCAGATTCTGGCCTCATCCTGCAGCCATTAACGCTAATAAATACAGACTTCGGTTGTCGACACCACACCCACCAAACCACAACCATAGCAACAAATTTTACTCCATTTTACTGCTAAGGTAGGATATGTCTCCGTGTGTGTGTGTGTGTGTGTGTGTGTGTGTGTGTGTGTGTGTGTGTGTGTGTGTGTGTCAGCAACACGTCCGCTGGACAGGTTTTAATAAAACTCTTTGAAAGTGATTCCCGGATGAACGTCTACAACTCATTATCTGATGAAATCAACCATTTTCAAGATGGCCGTCACAGCTAATCGCAAAAGCTCATTTAGCTCTATTTAAAGATGAGTTAGGGGACATGTGTGCGAGACAGGAAGTCACTAAATGAATATGGATGAACCCAAACAGCTGATGAGATGACATCAATGTGTGCGTTCACATGCAGCCAGTAACCCTTTTAAAACCCGAATATTCACAATAACCCGGTTCCGCACGGCCATGTAAACACCGCCAAAAACCCGGATATGCTCATAACCGGGTTTTTAAAAACCCGATTACTACACCTGGGGTAACCCTTTTCTAACCCGAATGTTTGGTCGTGTAAACGCATATCGGGATATCCCCATCAAAGCGTGTGTTCTGCGCATGCTCTGTTCGCAAGGAATCTTGGTCTTTTGAGTAGCGAGACGTCTTGTATGCGCCAGAACACCAGAAGTAAACAACAAGTTGGGAGCAACATGGCGAGTCGCGGCACAGCACCACACTTTTGGAGTGACAAGGAAACCTGTCTTCATCGGTCTGGTGAAAAGTATGAACATTATGTCTTTTGTTGACGGCCGAAAGTACAGAGACAGCGAAATATGACGCATATTGCGTCTTGACGTAGTCCATACGTCCTGACGCTACCCCAACGTCCGCATTTAAATCAGGTTATGCAAGTTAGGGGTAACTCTCGTCCATGAATGTCACATTAGAATATGACATAAATCTGTGTGACTTTTCTACTCAGAGCATTTCCATGGTTATCTTCTGTCGGCGGCTAGTGTAGGAACTGGTGAATGAGACACGTTCAGCCTGCAAGTGGAACTCAGAGAGACCAATCACATTTTAAAAAATAACAAAGCATTTTCTTGGTCTTTAAACTAAAATCAGTCTCTACGTAATCACTTAGATGGTTTAAGACGCATATTACATCCCCCTGATTTTCACAATAAAATGCTCTAGTGCAGCCCTGCTGGAGAGTCTCTCACCTTGAACTCCATGGGTGTGTACTTCTCATTCTTTGGTGTGGTGTTGCCTTTGTAGTTCAGGTGGTTGGGGGTGGTGGGATGAATGATGGCCGACTCCTGCGAAGACTTGTGGAATCTCTGACAGTAGACGTAGATGAGGAAGGAGAGCAGCCCCGCCCCCAGGAAGCAGGAAACACCAGTAGCAATCAGGTGGATGGAGGTGAATGCTGGTGGGGAAGAGATGTTTCACTGACAGAACCAAAACAACTTGGCTGTAAAAACTCATTGACACAGGTTGTGAATGCTGAGGTCATTTCAGATCTTTATTCCTGCCATTAATAATAAATACCGGTTACCCCTCCTGGAGCTATTTGTGCCAAAATCAGATCCCAGGCTGCTCCAGTGACCCTGATCGCTTTGTTACTGATTATCGATTGAAATATGTGGCTGCTGAAGAATAAAATAACAGATTTGATTTCTATAAAATTTCCCAAGGCACTCAGCTTTGTTATTCATTCATGTGCTCTTCTGGTGATTAAAATCTGAGGTTGGACATTCGAAATAATGTAGAAAGATAGAAAACAGCAACACTTAGTGTTTGTGTTGTGACGAGAGCAAAGGGCATCAGATCCGGAAGATTGGCTGGAATCGAGGGTTTGTTTTATGGAAAATCAGGAATACAAGTTTAAATACACATCTGCTGTGTAAACACTTGCAGCATGTGATGAAAACAGCTAGTGGATTCAGGGTCCTGAATCACTCATTTTACAGCCTTAAAACCATCTTCAAACAGACCGGAGCAGAGTTGGGTCAAAAAGACAACCCCAACAATTCCCACCGGAGACGAGACAGACGGGACCATTTTACGGAGCTAGGATTGGGACCATATTAAATGTAACTTGTACAAAGCTTTGTAATTTGTAACATGCTTTGTAACTGTAACTTTTATTTTGTAACACACATACTCCTTTAGTAACCCAGAACTTGTGTTTTGTAGCATGTAATTCTTTGGTTCCTTGGGAAGGAAGCAATAATTGGGACAAAATGTTTTGTACACATAGACTTGAGTTTTGTAACTGTAGACTGAGATGTGTGTTTTGAGAGTTGCGTTTTAAAACGTGTACATCGATTTTTTTGGCCAGTTACAAAATAAAAGTTTCATGTTAGTACTGAAAGTTACTAGCCTGGCCTGCCAGACTCGTCCTCTGTTTAATTCTGCACAGAGAAAGAGTCTGGGAACTCTCCTATTCAAATAACCCCACCCCGTGAGAATTCTGACCGAGCCAATCAGCGCTGAGTAGCATACATCACACACCACAACGCCGAGTTTGTCATAAACATGGTGACTGAAGTGGAGTTTGCTGTGGCTCTTTCATTTGTTCTAAATGATTTGAACATGTCTTTAAAACCACTACCAGTAGAAGCGCTAAAAGCATTTCTTCTAAACAAAGATGAGGTATGCAGCTGTGCATACTCCATGTTTGATAGGTCACAAACCTACATGGCGTAAGTACATTTTTTTTGCTGAGCTTAAGTACGGTTTTAGTAAGGATTCTACACAACGTTTGATGAATGAGACCCCAGGTCTTCTACTCTGGGGAATATCTCTGCTGTGAATAAAGCAATTCATTTATTTAGAGAAGATAAATCAATGGAAAAAATCTAAAATGAACATTTGATCTTTAATTGGAAATCTTGGAAAACGCTTTGAATTGGAAATAGAATGATATGGGTTTTCCTATTTCTGATGCCGATTTGTACTGCTGATGTTTCATGGCCAATATCTAGATGTTTCCACCTTATCTACTTGCTGAAAAGTCACTAAAAACAATGGATGCTCAACATTTCTAAACTCTGAATTCAACCAACTGTTAAATCTTAATATTTTGTGCTGCACAGAATTCAATTCAAACATCCAACTATAGTTATTCAATAAACTGACCGAGTGTTACACGTAAAAGTCAGATAACAATAATGCTGTATACTACTACTACTACTACTACTACTACTACTACTACTACTACTACTACTAAACTTTATTTATATAGTGCCTTCACATGGCCCTAGGACCAAACAAAGCGCTGCACAACAGAAATGAACTGTCATGTTCTGTGTCCCTCTGGTCCCCAGCCCCCTCCTGTTCTCACTCCAGGTTCTCCTATTGTGTCTCGTTATGATCCCCAGCTCTCTCTAGGTTTCCCTCATGTTTCCCCCCAGTCACTCCCTGGTAGTTCCTATTTGATTTTGTATTAGTCCTCCTCTAGTTATTAGTTGTTTATAGTTGCTCTTAGTCTTTAGGTTTAGTTATTCAGTGTTTTATAGGTTGTGGTTTATCTTCCCTCCTGCTTAGTTCTTTCCCCCATTTAGGTTATTGAATGCACCTGCCTTCCCTCCAGATCTCACTCCTCACACCTGTTACCTGTTCCCCTGATTACCTCCCTCTGTGTTTAAAAACCCTGTCTTGTCCCCTAGTGTTTGTCGGTCCATTGTCTTTTGTCAGCATTGTTTTTGTCCCCCTCTAGTTACTATAGATCTTGGCTCATGTGAGCTTTTGTTTTGTCTACAGAACTTTAGATATTTGACCTCGTTTCCCATAGACTTTGTTTTTTCAGTTCTCATCCTAATAAAAGGATTTTTTATTTAAACGACCTCTCCTGCCTCGAGTTGTGGTGTTCTGCATTTTGGGTCCAATCCTCCTGCGCTCGCATTGTGACATGAACATAAAGAAATAAAAACATATAAAACCATTTAAAAACCAACAAAAACATGTAGATAAAATCTAGGTGGGGGAGCAAAAAGTGCAAAGTATAGCATTTATTAAGGAAATGTAAAATAAACATTGAAATAAAGCACCGAGCTGCCCGCGAACTTGTCAAACTTTAAATCTGCTCTTCTAAAAAAAAGTGTATCAGTCCCATATAACAGCCGGCTGGTGTTTCATCTACCCCTAGTTTAAAACATTCGGGATCTGCTCAGAAGAAACAACCTAAATTACACAATTAAACAGTAATAATGATGTAACGGAATGAAATGACTGTTTTCCACCAAAAGTTATTTTCCCCTCTCCTCTGACACAGAACTATCTGCATGAGATATGGCCTCAAGGTCTCATGCATTTGCTATAAACTGCTCTTTCCAGCTCAAGAGAAGAATGAAGAATGGACTCTCTCCTTTTAATAAATCAAAGAACTCTATTTTAATAAAGCTAATCAAACAAAGTGTTAGTCAATAAATAAGATGTGACCAATCTGTGAAATCAAAATATTAATTACTTTATTATAATCCTATAGAATATAATAAGTAATATGACTTTAAATGTTTCCACTAGGACTGATCTCACGTAGCGTTAAGAGACAACACGTTGTTTTACTGATCCAATCAGAATCTGCCAGATCTGATGGAGGCGTGGTTTTGGTGGTGTTTGGTAAGTCTGTCATCATCTTTTCATTCGACCATAAACCAAAACATCCGAAGTATAAAACTATGCCCACGTCATCTTTTAACGCCAGTTCAAAGTGTTCTAGAGAAGTGTCGGTGTGGCCAATCCGTAACTTTCCTCTTCAGCCAAAAGAACCAACGACAAGCTGGATAAACCTGTTGCCGTTCCACCTGCTGCAACGGTTCCTTTCAGAATAAAAGCTGAACCATCACGACCCAGTTTTGGGTCTCGCTAGACGCCAACAAAACTGTCGTGACCCGGAAGTATCTCAAGACTGGTGGTCGGCTGCCGCGGCTGTTCCTACAAGCTTTGGCTCCATAAAGGTCAAACTGGACCTCTACACCTGCTGATCTAGACGGGCACATCCGCTAAGGGTACGTAGACCGACAAATGGCGTCAAATGTGTTTATGAATCTCCTAACCAAAGCTTAGCGCGAAGACATCACCTTCATTTCCTACCAGAACCAATCGTTTCTCCGAATTTGCTGGTTCTGAGCAACATTCCACACTACACCATTCTCCATCTCATTCACCTTAGTTACACCATACATTTAGTGTTAAAGTTAGTCTAGTTTAATTTGTTTAGTAATAAATCTTTAAACTTTTAAAACTTGACTCTCTCTCTTCTGTTGTCTCTGAGTTAATACGAAGCTGTTATCTAATCCCTGCAATAAAAAGTTCTAATCTTCTGGTTAAAAGTACCCACAGATCCATAAGGTTGATTTCATATTTGCTATGGAATCTTATGTCTTATTAAATAACATGTAAATTAAACAATAATAATGATAATAAAGACAAAACTCTGTGAAACCCCTAATCTTTTGTGATTATTTTCTCATTTCGCTCACTAGAACCCTCGATTACAATAAAAGTTGCACCATGGGGCTTTGCTTCCTGCTTTACTCCAGTCCTTCTCCTTGTGTTAAACACTATACGGATAAAAACAGGAACGCTTTTCCATGTTAGGAGATTTAAAAAGTTTCTGTTTACTTTTGTGTTGATCTTTGGAAGAAGAACAAAATAGATTTTTGAAAATATTTTTTAGCATTTTTTTCCTCCTTCTACCCAGTTGTTATAGTAGCTCATGACATAACAGCAGACATGGAGGTGCACATGAATGCATGAAAACAGACTGTTGGTTCCAGACATCTGAGGAAACACATAAGGGGTAAAACAAACAGGAACATGCTCGCAGGCGAAAGCAGCTCAGGCAGATGTTAATCCACTTACCTCCACATTGTTGGTCCTTGTCAAAACCAGATGCAGGAAGAATGACTGCAAAGAGGAGAGGAACACAAGTCAGACACACATGCATGCACACACACATGCACACACACTCCACGGAGACACAACTGAGACGTCCAGGGACTTGGCACGTGCAGAAACTAAAACAGTGAATGAGAAAATGAAGAAGTAATGCTTGCGGATTTTTTCTCATTTATTTCTGTAAAAAAGTCAAATTTCGGAGAGAAAACTTCCTCTCAGTGCTGCTCTGTCACGACGAACCGGTCTAGCTGTCTTCAGAAACTTTTTAATGGCATCCTGTCTTTCAAGTGTGCACGCGAGTGTGTGCGTACCAACACTTTTAATAGCAGCGCCACGTTTCCTTTAGCATTTTGTTAGCTAATTTTTTCCCTCCCTTCCCCCGGAGCTGCCTCTGCAAAAGGCCTTCACCAAACCACCTATCGCCTCGTCGAAATCTGCAAGAAAACTAGATGTGATTTGGTTTCGTGACATCCCATTAATATTAATCGTCTCCGTCTTGACTCATTAGGGATTCGGGAGCTGGAGAGACCGTGAGAGATCATTTCAGGGGTAACTTTCTGAGTTCATCATCAGAATAAAAAGGTGCACTGAGGGCCGGCAGAGTGAACTGCTGACTTATCAAATTCACATGGACTTAATTACGGCTAATTAACAGGCATGGGTGAGTTTAGCACACAATAGCTTTATGTTAACAAATATGAGTGAGAGTGGAGATGGAGATGAATAACAATGACACATAATAACAGACATGCTGGGGGCTGAAAGGATCAGTGGCAGCTTTTAAAATCTGCTGCCACTGACAGTTTTGGAAAGGAACAGGTTTATTATTCTGGTAAATAACCATAATGTTCTTCCCTCTATGCCAGTCACATGCAGCTAATCAAGTCTGGGCTTTAGGGGCTTCGTGGGACCATTGTGAAGTGTGTTTTTGGGAAAAAGTAACATTTTTTACACATAATCTCTCCAACTTCTAAAGCAGCGTGCAGCTTTTGAGCATTTCTTCTCAAACGGTTTCTTACGGTTTCCACTTGAATGCTTGAAGCAGTTTTGGGGGACAAAAGTAAACATCAAAGCCTACGTGAATTTTGTAACATTCAGGGGCACAGAGGAAAGTTGCAGCTAAGGAACGCTGCCCTCACTTCGCCTCTGAACAGCCAATCTCAGCCTCGTCCACCAGCAGCAGACGGGGGGCTGATTAATGCGTCTGAGAGCTGACCCACTCACCGGGTATTTCATTGCAGTCTCTACGCTGAGTGCTGTTCCCCACACAGGGGCTGCTGCTCTGAGCGCCACAAATTCGGCTCCTCGCTTGGAAGCCCGAGTCATCACAGGCTGACCACAGAGACCAGGCCATCCAGCCACCTAAACACACACACAAAGACAAGATGAATGAAAATAAACCCAGACAACCACTGGGCCCAAGGCCTGGAAACCACTGCGCCCACCCAAGCTGCCTCCACCTGCCTCAGTAACCTTGCCAAACAGCAAAGCAGCACAAAAGTGCCAAAAACAGCGTTTGTGATGTAAACAAGATTGGAAAAGTAAACTCGTGGAGTTGGTTTAGTGCATAGCAGAGATGTTTGTCTCCTGAGCCAAGCTTTAGTGCCGTTTCCCCGCAGCAGGCGACCAAGCAGTAAACAAAGCTCCTTCCCAAGAGGAGAACCCTCAGCTCCTCCCTTTGAACCGTCCACTCTTTCGTCCAGCATTCAAGAGCACTGGAGTGGAGGGAGCACAGGGTACTGCGATGAAAGGCTGATGAAAAGAGCTGGTTTGTTACCCAGCGTGCTCTCAAGTGTGCAGTTTTGGCAGAGAGTGCCTCGGCGAAGGAAGAAGACGGGCCCCTGTTACCTTTCCTATCAGTCCCAAGATCACCGACCAGCTGCTTCTCCCCCACCATCTGCTCCCTGCTTTCAGCACCAACGTCTAAAAACAAACCCAGTACCTTTGCATCACAACAATACTCTCTGGCTACTTTCATTTCTGTCGTCCAAACAGGTCTTCTGTCACATGAGCAGCAACAGACGCATCAAACATCCCGTGACTGACAGTCGGACTCGTGTAAAGTAGGATGTCGCATCAAGAGGACCCCGATAGATGACTGACGGTCTGCACATCGACATCCCAGCAGAACAGTGCAGGGTAAACCAGATGTGTTGGTTCACGTCAAACAGGAAAGCATTAACTTGATGTAAAGGAGGCTGATTAGCGTCTGGTGTATGGGAGGGGCTCCTAAAGCCATTAGGAGTTTTATTTAATTACCAGGGAGGCTGACTGTACACATTACTCTCTCTGTGAATGACTGTGCGAGTGATTCAAAAACAAAAGTGACGATTAGAGACAAACAGCCTTTTAATTCAGGCAATCTATGAGGATTGGAAGACCTCCTTCATCAGAAACAAACACATGCTTTAGCACATCCATAATGTTGGGTTAGTTCTGTTTCCAGAATGAAGACACTAACAGCACCAAACTGGTTGTTTGATGTTAAAAGCTAGGAATCAGAGTCAGGCGGATCTCGTACGAGTTCTGATGTCTGACTTGTAATCATTCTGGATTAGCCGGCTGATCTTATGAATGTTTCAGTGCCCTTGTAGGAAGACGATGAATGAAAATAGTAGAGGGTGTTTTTATACTTCACAAACAAAACCAGTCTTTGGAGTAAAGACAAAAACACACTAAAGCTTTGTTTGGGTATCCTATCCCTCTAATATTTCACAAGACACTAACAGCAAGTTCTACATCAACTCCAAATTAATCATGTTTGATTTTTAGATTCATTGATGCTCAGGTCTGTCTGGCTTCATGATCTTTGACCTTTTTCTGATGAGATATTTTCTGTCAGAGAAGCCATCTGTTCCTGGAGATTATCTGTAGCTCAAAGGTTGTACAGCAATCAAAGATGGACATTTGAATTTCACATGGATGTACAAGTGTTTGGTTCAGTTTAGGTCCATCAAAATGTTTTAACCCATCAACGTTGTAATGGTGCCCTCTTTAGGACTCCTGCAAAGCTGGATGATATTGAAATAATACAGTAAATGAGAAACTAGCCTAAATGCTAATGTTTAAGATCATTGCACAAACAAGGCCCAATCATATGGATTGCATGTTTGTATTTTCTTGCACTGCACCACACACAACTTAGGCACAGTGCACAGTGTATCTTGGTGCAGCTAAGACCTTACACCACAATCGTGCACTGTGGTGCACACTTGTGCAAACAATAAACCCACGAAACAGCATCTCAGAGACCAAATGTAGTTAGTACGCTTGGATATTTAAACCCAACAAAAGTTTCTCTGCTCAACAAAAACATTTTCTTAATTTGAACTGAAGACATTTAGGATGAAAATGTTAACCATAACTACAAAAACCAGAGGTGTGGACTCGAGTCACATGACTTGGACTTGAGTCAGACTCAAGTCATCATTTTAATGACTTCTGACTTGACTTGATAAAATTTATAAAGACTTACGACTTGACTCGGACTTGAACGCCAATGACTTGTGACTTGAATCGACTTGCATCTTTTGACTTGATGATGACTTGAGCATATTTGATACTTTAGCACAAAAGTGGCACGGCATGGACTAAAATCATAAATGATGCTTGGTTCTGGGTTTGATGTTCTGCTGAATGCAGCAGCACTTTGTTTAGAATCCGTTTCAGCACTTTCTGCTGTTTGAGCAAATAAATGAAGTGTTAAGAAGTTTTATTTCTGGAATTTATTTAATATCATTGTTGTAGCGACATGAATGGCCTCATTTGTGACCCAAAGGTCACACTTCCCCAGCTAGGTCGAGATGGGTCAAGCTGAACTTCTTTCCACAGATTATCCATCACAGGAGACATAAAGTCTGCTGTAAACCATCTTTAATCTGACTTCCCTTTTATCTGACTGCTGTTCCGTCCCAAGATGAAGGACACTTCAAGATTTAAAATAATCATTTTTAATAAACTCTTTTCACTGTTTATTACAAGGTTCATAAATAATCATCATAAATAATCATCATGGTTCATTATAAATGTATTTAATTAATGAAACGAATTATTATTCTTTGGTTATTAATAATTATTATTTATGATAATCAGTAATGTTTGATCAGTAACCAGAAGGTCATGTACACTTATACACACCATACAGGGACTGAATTCAGTTTAAAGGTAACCACCTCACATGTCTTTGCTCCATAACCAAAGCTTTCTATCTCTGAGAGGGAGTGTCCTGAGGACTTATTAAAACCAAAAACTCCTCAGTTCAAGTTCAGTTCTGAACCCACCAAAAGCTCTCCGTGGCACGAGAGTCCCAGAGGATAAGGGTCGGCCGCTCGAAGCCTCCACTAAGCTGTTCTGTCACGCCGACAGAATCGCTCCGAATAAACGCCATCTGCAACCAGCTGACGCAAAACTCCTTCAGAGTTATTGATTTTTTTGAGACGCAACCAGTTCCATCAGTCGTTGTGACCCAGAGACATCTCAGGACCGATTTGGTTGCACCAAAGTTTCCTCTACCCACCTCATGCTCGGAGGTCATCATCTCCTCCTGACATCTCGGATCCAACAGGGGGTCTCCTAACTGGGTGAGGTAGACACTTCCGACAGATAGCGTCCGATGCTGTTCTCTCTAAGAAACAACTTAGTTAGCTGCAAAACAACTCTTTCACCCAGAACGCGTTTTCTCTCTCGGATAGGAACCTTCTGAAATTCCATCCACGCATCCAAACCCACACATTTCAATTTAGTTTTCATTCAGACACAGGTTGCTTTTAATACCAAGTTTTAATATAAAAGCTGTTATAAATTGTCATTTTCAAATTGTCATCTTTGAATTGTTAGTAATAAATTCTTAACTTTTTAAACCTGACTCTTTGAAATGAAACACAGAATGGTGTATATTTGGTTATTGAACAAGCAAAGATTCCATTAAGTCTTCTGGTTTAATAAATAAACTTTTGCTATTAATTAAATTTCTTAAATTAAATATTAATCTTTGGATTAAATATAGACCAAGCCGGTTGGTGTATGAACTTCTATCGATTGTATAAATATCCAGGATATTTATACATGATATATGCTTCATATGCTAATTTGTTGATCTTTCTCAGGATCTAACAAAGCTGATAGCAAACAGCGTTAAATCCTAGTATGTAGACTGTCAACGCTACATTGTCATTAAATTGAAGTTGGACAGATGACTTGATTATGACTTGAAAATTCAAAGTTAAGGACTTGGACTTGACTTGGACTTCCACATCACTGGCTTCGGACTCGACTTGGACTTCACTCGAGACTTGACTGGAAAGACTTGTGACTTACTTGTGACTTGCAAAGCAGTGACTTGTTCACACCTCTGACAAAACTGGTTAATAACTTCACATTTTAGTTTAAAGACCAAAGTCACTCACTTTTATTGTGGTCTCTAGTATAAATGGGAATGGGAAAAATGCTCTGGCGCTCCTGTATCAGGAAGGAGGCGTTAGCTAGAGCAGAGGTGAGTAGATCACGGCAGGATTTGGAGTCTGATTTGCTGATATTTGGGCATCTTGCCTTTGATTGGCAACACGACTCTACCATTAATTCAGAATGCTCTGTAAGGCTAACGTTTTATCTCCACAAATAACACAAGCCTGGAGGAGTTCTGCCATGTTGGGGAGTTGCTAATGCTA